CCCCCCCCCCCCCCCAACCCATAAAACCTGTAAATATGAAAAGGTGGAAATAATATAAAAACTAGATTTCTTACATTTGGACTAGAAGTTTAGCAAGAACAACTTACAGACTTGTTGGGCAGATCCTGGGACCAGCAGCCATTTTCACGGGCCGAGTTCAGCGGGGCCCCCACATCTCTGGCTGAGGGGCTTGGCGGCCCCACCCCTCACTGCTGATTGGCTGTGAATTCTGTCCCTCCTACCCCTCTGCTGATTGGCTGCAAGGGCTGTCATGTGGTTGCACCCCTTGCCACCAAGTGGTGGAGATGGGCCATATGATGGACAGCCCTTGCAGCAAAACAGCAGAGATGGGTGGGGGCAGCAGCCATCTTGCTGTGGTGTCAGCCCCCCTCCCTCCTTCCCAGCAGGCTGTGCACCTAGGCCACAATGTCCACAAGGACTTCTGGCTTCCCAGAAGGAGCCAGCATTTTATTTTCAGTAACAGACTGGGGAGTGGTGGGGGAGTTGGTTTTTTGGTTTGTTGTTTTTTTTATTTTTTTAGGGAGCCTGTTCAAAGTGCAGAGCCTACCCTAAATCGCGGTTTCCACAAAAACCGTGCAGTCACGATTCCAGTAGGTCCCTAGCTATAGCCAATTAAAATCAAAGTCGCAATTTGTGTATTAGAAATGTCGTGACCTCCCTGACACTTTTGTCAACAGTTGTGGCCACAGAAGAAGTTGTGACTGCCGAATCAGTGGATGGTGCAATCCAGCAAGTCGTCAGTTCTGGAGGTCAACAAGTTATTACTATAGTTACAGATGGCATTCAGCTTGGTAACCTCCATTCCATTCCAACGAGCGGAATAGGTCAGCCAATCATTGTGACTATGCCAGATGGGCAGCAAGGTGAGTGGAAACAGGAGAGCTCAGCATGAGCTTCCAGGACCGCTTCAATTTAAAATCGGGATAATGTGTGAGATATATATGAGTTTGTTTTATTCATTAAATTAGCACCGGAAGTTTCTGTGGGAATCTAGTTATTCCTCTGAGTCCACTGTGGAAGACTGAGGTGTCTTTTGAATTACGTTATTCTATAGGCCTGTATTTAAAGTGCACTAAAATGGATCTAAATTTGATTTTTGTATTAAAAAAACAACAAATTCACATTCTTTAACCAGTGAGATTGGAGAATATAGACGCACTGAGAGAGAGGAGAGATAAAGGAATTAAAATGTCAGGAAGAGGAAAAGGAAATGGGGTAATTTTCTGACTTATTTCCAACAACCAGTCTGTATGAAAAATAGAAAGCATGTGGCACAGTGGGTCTGTCAGTAGTTAGGATCCTAACTCACTGGGCCTACTGCAGGTTTTGAGGGCTACAGGCAGCGGCGTTTGTAAGTTGTACAGGTGTGCTCTTTCAGAGCCCCCTTGGAATATCAGTGTACATCCGATTTTGGAGAATGGACTGGGTAAAGAGAGAGAGCAGATCTGGTAGCTACCTCATTTGTCCTCATTGGAGCATATGTACATTTGCCTATGGGAGCTACATCTGCTGAGTCTGCTGTCTTGGTTCTGAACTCTTGTGCAAATGCTTCTGCAGTTGCCAGTGCTTAGGGAGAAGTCTCTTTCCTGGCTTCCCAGCACCAGGCTCCTCTGTAGGGACCCTCAGTGCAGAGCCTTGTTTCAGAAAGCTACCCAGGATTTGGTACACAGTATATGGTCTATGTAGACAAAAATGTGGTACTTAAGAGTATTCATCTTTCCTGGAAGTAATTAAGCTGTTGTTTAGAATACTTACAATATTTAATGAATCCACGATAACCATGAATTTAAGACAACTCCCCAATGATTAAATTCTATCTGTGGTAAACAAATACATTTTTTATAGTTTTTCGTGTATAGAATCGAAATTTTGAGTGTTCATCTTAAATTTGTCCTCCGCAATGGGGTTCAAGGGTAGGGTCATGCTCTGTGCCCCAGGCTGGAGCAGGGATAGAGCCTACCAGTGCCAGAACAAGGGTAAGTGTGGCAGGGGTGGAGAGGGCTCAGGCAGGGGTTGGGGTAGAGGCTGCAGAAAATTGGAATCCACCCACAGCCTTGCAGGGGAAGGGAGAGATGCATAAAACATAGCCACATGATGTGTTGCGATCCTAACGTAACAAAGAGCTGTAGAAAATGCCATAAAAGTAGTTACAATTTTCAGTAAATACTCTATTGATGCCTTTATTGCAGATTTCCACCAAGCTATG